TCGGGAGGAATTCCTCCCAACGAGAGGGTGTACAACCCATCTTGTTGGGAGGAATCCCTCCCGAAAAGAGGGTGTACAACCCATCTCGTTGGGAGGAATCCCTCCCAACAAGATGGTTCACAGCCCATCTCGTTGGGAGGAATCCCTCCCGACGAGAGGGTTTACAACCCATCTTGTTGGGAGGAATCCCTCCCGACGAGATGGGCTTAAGACCAGCTCATCGGGAGGGTTTCCTCCCGATGAGCTGGACTATGGGCCGTCAGGGTTCAAACAAAGCGAATACCTGTAGGACCCAGGCCTGGGTCCTACAGGGATCTTCAAGGCCATCGGCCAAGGTTTGAACCTTGGCCAATGGCCGTCAGGGTTCAAACCTTGAACCCATGTCGGTTCAAGGTTTGAACCGTTCAGACCGTCTCTCCATAGGACCCATCCCTGGGTCCTATGGGATATGCCTCGACCTAAACCCATATGAATATGGGTTTAGGTTGAGGCATATGGAATTGCTGGCTGCACGCCTGCCTGCAAGCGAGGCAACCCGAACTTATCAAAGTCCCTCGCTTCGGAGGGCCTGGTGGCCTTGGCTGGCGTGGAACGCCACTCGCGCAAAGCGCGAGCCTCCAAAGGAGGGACTTAAGACAAACACGAACAGGCCCGCGTGTCACGGTTGGGCACTTTTGGTGTAACGCACATTGAGCTGGATGTACAGCATTTACATCACCAGCTATTGGTGATTTGAGTAGACAAGCTTTTGGTGCTTGGTGATGCCTCTCACCTCATCCAATTTTCAGAACTTCATCTTGAAAATTGGATGAGGTGGATCTTTTTTAAGTTGGTCAAATTGAGAAAGTGTTCTCACATGGTAGGCAGTGAGATTGAAACTGGCTTATGTAAGCTCAGCCAATTTGCCATTGGGCAAATTTTCCTTTAAAATTTTTCAACTGTGTAGTTTTCATTTTTTCCCAAAAGTTTCTTGATAGAAGTCAAGACCTCCATGTTGGGCATCTTCACTCCATCTCAGCTTTCAAGAAATCCAAAAGCTGGATTTTCTATGATTTTTGGCGCAAAAAACAGCCAAAAAACTCAACTGTGACACCCAGTCGTGTTCGTTTTGGACTCAAGCCTCTCCCGCACTTCGTGCATTTGACGGAGAGGCTGTACAAGCTCGAGGCAACCTCGCTTAACAGCTGGCGTGCAGCATCGCACGCCAATCAAAATTGGCGTGCAGCATTGCACGCCAATCAAAATTGGCGTGCAGACCCGCACGCCAACCTGCTGGGGGAATGCCCGCGCAGAGGGTTGGAGTGCGGTCCCACACTCCCTTTGGAGAAGGGAGTGTTGGAGTGTGTGTGCGAAGGGGGGTGGAGTGTGATTATCACTCCCCCACATGGCCTGCTTCAAAGCTCAAAGAAAGTTGAAAAGACACTTGCTACCAGCAAAAATCTCACATCTGAGCCTTAAACAAACCATATTTGCCTTATAAAAAAAGCATCCAAAAGCTCCATCATGAACCCCGCTACTGTATAATTCCTAAGAGCTCTATGGACCTCATGAGAAATATGAATCAACCAACATTGATGAAAGGAAACTGGAATGCAATAAAATTCTGGAAGATGGAAAATAGTGTCAAGCTCAATGCAGTATTCATTCTGTTGTTTAAGTTGAGTATTAGTATTTTCAGCTGAGAAATCCAATGATTCTCTGGAAGTGATGCTGGCACATTGTTTTGTTTATTTTATATGTACAGGATCAGTTCATGCACAATCCATTTTTCTCAGTCTAAAAATCACAACTCACTCAATTCATATCTATGATTCACCTTTTATCAACAATGGGCCAGCTACTTTGACTTAATTTAGTGTCATCAAAATACCACTAACACTACTGACATTTTAAATTAGCTCTTAGTGGTATCATAGTATTGCTGACAGACAATGGGTAATTCTTTCTGCTGCTACGCAGTTTTAAACCCACGTTAGAGATCGTTCGTTCGGACCTGTTGGGGGGTACCTGCCACACTTCAGATCAAGCCCTCCACATCAACAGCCACCATAAATACCAGTGGGGGGCCCAGTACTAAACCTCCATCATTACTGAACCCTCTGGAAGCATCAGTGGTGTCTGAGGGTGTGGAGGGAGTGTTTACAAGGGTGGCAGGTACCCCCCAACAGGTCCGAACAAATGATCTCTAAGGTCCCACGTTGTGTGTTTTTTCCACAAAAAGCAGTGTAACACAGCATAGTTTGAGTGTAGTGCTGCTAGTGCTATGGTATCATGAGATGTTTTTCAGGTTTGCTATGCCGCTGCTAGGGGGGTGTAAAGTAGAGATTGTCGATGGATATTCGCTGCGGATATCCGCTATCCGCTGGCGGATACCCGCCAGCAGGTGCGGATTCGGGTGTGGATGCACCTTTACCCCTAAAATACTGGCGGGTATCCGGGTATCCCTTGGGATACCCGGTGCCAAGAGGCCACATCGCCGGGAGGGGGTCCTTCCGACGAGCTGGTTTAAAAACCAGCTCGCCGGGGCTCGCCGGGAGGGGGTCCTCCTAGCGAGCTGGCTTGTAGACGCTTGCTGGGAGGAACCACTCCCAGCGAGCTGGCCTGTAGACGCTCGCCGGGAGGGGTTCCTCCCGATGGTGTGGCCTCTGCCCCTTTAGGCCGAGGGGGCCGGGTTTTTTTTTTTTCTTTTTCTTTCTTTTTTTTAAAAAAAAAAAAACAATGTCCTGGAAGAGCCGGCTGCCTTGCCGCCCATTCAGAGGGCGGGTATCCGCGGGTATCCGCCGGCGGATGTGGGTTTCCGCTGAAAAAGTGAGCGGATATCTGCATCCGTGTGGATATCCGGATTTAATGCGACCATCTCTAGTGTAAAATGCAGTTCGGTGTAGCGGCCCACCATTGCTTTTACTATTAACTAGGAAACTTGCAGCTTTGCCGCAGGCCAAGCCCCTAATTTTTGCCCCAACCACCGGAAACTACCATGGTATTTGACTGTGCAGTTGCTGGCCTCCTACGTTAAAAATTTCTTTTAAAAGTAAAGTCGCATCCCCTTGGTAA